TGGATGATCGTTGAGATCTCGTGGGAGGCCTCTCGGGGGCCTCTTGGAGGCAGTTTGAGGCCTGGTGGGGGCCGTTTTGGGGCCCCTTGGAGCCTGTTTTGGGCTTCTTGGGGCCTCTTGGGGGCCTATTGGGCGCTCTTGGGCGCCTCTTGGGGGCCTGTTGGGGCGGAAGGCTCCGATATTCGATTCGTGTTCCCCCTCTCAGGCCCTGTGTGTGTCTCTGTGTGTCTCTGTGTGTATGTGTGTGCCTGGGTGTGTCTGTATGTGTCTGTGTGCCTGTGTGCGTCTGGGTTTGAGAGTGCCTGTGTGTCTGCGTGCCTGCGTGCCTGTGTATATGTGTATCTGTGTGTCTGTGTGTCTGTGTGTCCGTGTGTCTGTGTGTATGTGTGTCTGTGTGTCTTTATGTTTGTGTGTCTGTGTGCCTGTGTGTCTCTGTGTCTGTGTCTGTGGGTCCGCGTGTCTCTGTGTCTTTGTGTCGCTGTGTCTCTGTGTCGCTGTGTCTCTGTGTCTGTGTGTCGCTGTGTCTCTGTGTGTTTCTGTGCCTATGTGTCTCTGCGTCTGTATGTCTGTGTGTCTGTGCTTCACTGTGTCTCTGTGTCCCTATGTGCCTGTGTGTCTGTGCTTCTGTGTCTCTGTGTCTGTGTGTCCGTGTGTCTGTGTGTCTATGTGTCCGCGTGTCTGCGTGCCTGTGTCTGTGTGTGTCTGTGTGTGCCTGCGTGTGCGTGTGCGTGTGCGTGTCTTGTGCGTGTCTGTCTTTCTCTCTCTCTCTCTCTCGCTCTTTCTCTCTCTCTCTCTCTCTTTCTTTCTCCCCTTCCCCCCCTCTCTCTATGTACATGTGTGATGTTAAATCTAGATTATGCAATCTAGGTTGTGCAATCTGCCTAGCGCCGCCAATGCTGTCCAATATATGTTGTACTATCGTATGTGGCGCAATACACGTTGCGCGTTCCACACGGTGCAATGTATGACGTCCAACATAATTGTTGCAAGCTACGTGGTGCAGCTGAAGTGGTGCAATTCGTTTTGACTGTCTTGAAGCTGTCCTCTCCACTGCTCGTGCAAACATGCCACCCTCCCACCCGCAACTTGGCCGC